GGGACTCCAGGATCATGACCTGAGCCGAAGGCAGTCGCTTAACCAACTGAGCGCCCCAGGCGCCCCTGAATATTAAATTTTAAAAGACAATCTCAAACCTACAGAAAAGTTGCCAGTCTAATACCTACAGAAGTATTTTGAGCACCGGTGAGTTTTAATTTATGTGGAATAACCTTTAATCCCTGAACTATTTGAGAGTAAGGCATCGACAGGATGGTCCATCACTACTGAGCACTTTAGTGTGTATTTCCTAAAAACAAAGATAGTCTCCTACTTAACCGCAGTATGGCCATCAAAATCAGGAACTCAGCATTGACGCATGACAATCATCCAATCTTCAGACCTTTTCTAAGCTTCACCAATTATCCCAGTGAGATCTTTTACAGAAAAGCATGTCAGTTCAGAATCACGGGCTGCCTTTGGTTGTCGGGTCTCTTTATTCTCCTTTAATCTGACACAGTTCTTCAGTCCTTCCTTGACGTTCATGACCTTGACACATTTGAAGATTATCATCTAGTTATTTTGCAGTTGGTCCTTCAATTTAGGTTTGCCTGAGATTCAGGTTAGGCATCTTTGGAAGATATGTCACAGGACTGAGGTTGTGTCCTCACTGCATTCTTTTAGGTACATGGTTTTAATTTTTCCTGCCACTAATGATGTTCACTTTGATCACTTGGTTAGGGTGGTGTCTTCCAGGCTTCTCCACCGAAAAATCACTCTTTCTTTTTGTAACTAGTATTTTTTTTTATTGTGGTAAAAAAAAAAAAAAGCTTAACATAATTTACTATCTTTACCATCTTTAAAAAAGATTTTATTTATTTATTTGAGAGAGAGAGCACAAGGTGGGGGCAGAGGGAGAGGGAGAAGCGGGCTCCCTGCTCAGCAGGGAGTCCATCTCAGGACTCAATCCCAGGACCCCGAGATCATGACCTGAATCAAAGGCAGACACTTAACCAACTGAGCCACCCAGGTGCTCCTGTCTTAACCATTTTAACTGTACAATACAGTAATGTTAACTTTTTGCAAATTGTTGTGCAGTAGATTGCTAGAACTCTTTTATCTTGCAAAACTGAAACTATGTCCATTGAGCAATAACTCCCCTTTTTGTACCTAATGGGTATTTTGTGGAGATGTGTTTTGAAACCACACAAATATGCTGTTCTTCATTAAGCTTTCAATTTACTCATTTGTTTATGTCAGTATGCACTGATTGTTTCCTACTTTATGTAGTGGATTATACTCCATCATTATCATTATTTATTTTGATGTGCAAAGTATTCTAGATGTGGCCAGTGGGGGCCCTCTCAAGTTTGTTTCTATGCCCTTTTGATATGTCCCCATTGGTTTCTGGCCATTTCCTTACTTTCTGATACAAAAAGAGATGTTTTAGAGTCATCTTGTACTTTCCCTGACTGAGCCTTGGAATCAACCATCACTCCAAGAAGCTCTGGTTCCTTTGGTGGAGAGTGGTTTTTATTTTTATTTATTT